GTTCTTGCAATTGTTTACTACAAATTCTTAAGAAGATATATATTAAATTATGTATAATGCACCTTTGTAAGAGCCAACCAAATCTGAAACTGATTCTATTTAAATTGAATTGGCACATTAGATATTTAAAGATTTTTATATATATTTATCGTACTTTTTTGAATTCAGTAATTTACAATTTGGAATCAAAATTATTCATTTTCGAATTATATTGTTATGAAAGATTGAAAATGAGATTGTAGAAAATTGTACAGCTTTGCCATAGAAACAAATTAATATTGTTATCAGCAATTTTGTTATCATCAGCAATGTCTACAATTCAGCAATGAATGTCTATTCAAAATATTTTTGAAAGTGTATTACAATCAATTGACAAAATCGGAAATTATAATATTTTTTATAATGTACAAGATTTGTGATTAATTGTTCTTAGTATTTATTGCAAACAATCAATAAAAACCACCTGAAGATGATATATAACTATATCGGTACGTATGGAGTAAAGAAATAACGATTTGATATATAAACTTAAAAAAAAATTTAATGTATTTAATGAGATTTCACTATATATATATATATATATATATATATATACATATATACACAAATTACAATGATACTTAGTAGACAAACCCCGTAAACCCCGTAAATGATTATATCCACTTTTCATAGCATTACATAATTCATTTTGATCGCAAACGATTTTTGTTTCATGAAAAAAAATCTCTGGTAAAGTCTGCTGAAGATAAACAAAAAATAAATATATCAAGATTGCGTAGGCATGGCGGGCGTAATATCTTATATAGGTATAATATAAGGTCAAAACTCATACACGAGCGTTATCTAAAACATTCAAGTGATTTTCCGAAATGCGGCAACCCTCGTTACGGATCGTGAATCAAGATCTGATCTCTATGTTCACCTACGAGGGTGAATTATAACCCCATCATAACTCATGGGGTAGTTCTGCGACGTCACACGCTCCTAGGCGCGGGCCAAATCACACATTCGTTATAGGCGACGTGGCGCCTCGAGCTAGGAGACGAGGAAGATGGCGTAAATTCGCCAAAATTACTACACACTATTACGCAATATTGCTATATTAGAGATTTACCGGAGCAAAGCTCAGGTAATGTTTGCACAAGCAATGTGCCAAGTTTCGCTCGAACACGTATGGATGTTGATCGAGCTCCGAGGCGCACATACTGCAGATTATACGTATAAGTTCATATTTGCCGTCATAAAGACATGTCTAAGTATACAAATGTTTGCAGGGCCTTACATTAAACTTCAATACTTAATGAAAATGAAACTTGTGGTGCATGGCATCGCGTCTTAAGGCTGGAACTTTCCGTACAAAAACTATTTTTTTTCAAAAAAATAGATTTTTGTTAATATTGAAACTTCCGAAAAAATACTTTTAAAAAAAAATATATATATATATATATTTTATATTTTGAATTTTTTATAAATTTTGAACATTTTTTTAAGCAATCCGGCTGCATAGCTGTTTTAGAGTCGAAATATCGAAGCGCGTAATCGCCGCGTCGTAATTAACGTGTGAACATTGGTACGGAACCCATATAAATGTACATAAAATGTGTATTTATTGTTATAATTTCTATAAAAGAAAATATGATGTGCATATGCCTAATGATTATGTTTGACCGCCAAGTGGCATTATTTTTTAACTTTCCGTAGGGTAGTTATAGCAATGAGCCAAAAATAGAAAATGAAATTTTTTGAATATCTTCACGTTTTGAGGGTTTCTAAACATTTTGGCATACCTCAGAAAAAATGGGTGAGTGTGTGTGTGTTTGTTTTGTATGTCCGCATTTTTTCGTTCACGTTTTCGGGCGCACGGATCATCCGATTTGAATGGTTCAATAAACATTCGATTTCGATTGATAGAAAGAAGTGCTGATTAGTTTTTGGCAAAGGCAGGTCAAGCCGTTACGGAGATACAGAGCAAAAAGTGAAAAAAATATAAATCGAGATTTTGAGAGAACGGAGCACCCGATTTGAATGATCTAAAAAACATTCAATTACTTATGATAGAAAGAAGTGGTGATTAATTTTTGGCAAAGGTAGGTGCAGCCGTTTTGAAGATACGGAGCTGAATGTACAAAAATGGCAGTTTGTGAGAAAGCATCCTATTTGAATGATTCAAAAAACTTTCTGCTGGTGTTGACGAAACAATTGCTTTTGGATTTTTTTTCAAACTTACGTTTTTTGTATATTGAAAATAAATCAGATTTTAATATTAATTTTTGCTAAAGTTCTAAAACTCACTTAAATATTTTAAATAAATAATTATTGTCGCAAGTTAGACTATGAAAAATTTCATTCGAGCTAGACAGAACAACAAACAAGTTGAAAAAAACATCAAATAATCACATTATTCCTTGTACGAATTGAGATTGATCATGCTGAATCTTCAGGTGTGTCGTATGTATTATTTCCGGCAGAATAGATAAGGGACTAGATTTCCTGGTAGAAAATAACGACATGTCAATCTAGGCCAAGTTTCTTTACTACCAACTTGCAACTTGTGAACAAACTGTGAAGCCTGACGCTAATTAGTCAAATATATGTACGTCAACATCGTATACAAATACTCACGCGACCCGCAGCAGAGTTCGTATTAAAACGAACTTATTATGTAATTAAAGCGCAATATGCCCTAGAACATGTTAAGTAATTTTAAGTAATATGCGCATGAACCGTTGAGAGCTTATTATGATCGCAAAACAAACCCTATGCAAAGCACAAAGCTTTGTATTGTACGTTCGGATCGTAACATGTAAAAATGGAAATGTTAATATCATGTTTATTCTACTGGAATGTTCTTGATAGCTACAGAGAAATTTTGATATATTACACATTTTATTAATTAGCATATTGCAATTATAGGGTAAGGGCGGGGCACAAACGTACAATTTGGCTTCGAGCAATGATAAAAAACTCCAAATGTATAAATGTGTTTTTACGTTTTTTTTTTTAAATGTAAGCTAGTTCTTTTTATCCAATAGGCGGGGTATATTGAGACGGCCAATGGGCGAACAGGTCCAATGTCTTATTTTAATTTTAAAGGAATTTTACAAAATAATAGCTGTATCATTCAACCAATGCAAAATATAAATTTCATGAATACATTTATTTACAGTGATAAAACTGTGTATAAGCATGATCTGATAATTTGATAGACATATTCAGCAGCAGAGTTGGAATTTATTATATAATTGTTTTTTTTTTAATTAATTTACTTTTCTGTTTGCTATTTCTTATTATCTACATCTTTTGCCTTTAATTGGTTCTTTTTACCCCTCCCACGTGTAAGCTTCTATAGAGGTTATATAATAAATAATCGTTGAATCTTACTAAAAATTAACAATACATATTATAATTCAATACCGTATACTTAAAAATTATATTAAGGTCACGTAGGTTCTCGGGGGAAGTTTTCATCAAAAAAATCCGATTTGCTAATTTTGTTTTCTCGGCGATTCAAGTCATTCTGATATGACTGGAGACTAAATTTGAAAAAATGTATGTATGTGTGTAAGTATGTGAACAGATTTTTGACCAATTGTCGACGTTTCCTCAAAAACTGCAGGGCCGATTTAAAAAATTTAAAAGCCGTTCGATGTAACTCTTTAACAATTTGTGTTTGTAGTTTTGCGCGACGATCAGCCAAGCTGTTTCTTTGAAAATAGCAAGAAAGTAAAAAACCTTTTGTCCTTAATTTTCGACAAATTTTCGTTTCTTCGTAATTAACTATAAAAAAACTAGCGGTGTATGGCATCGGGCAAATAGCTGGAACTTCTCCCGTGCCGTAACGAAATGTTCGAGGAATATTAAATGTTTTCATATAGATACTGTATTATAAATACTGTAACATTGTATAATATTTATTTGAATTATATAACCCGCATCACAAAGTCAAAAATATTTATTTAAAGTACATAAGTGAGTTTTCAAACTTTAGCCAGAATTAAAATTGAAATCATTATTTTCGATATACAAAAAAAAATTAAATGTTTTTTTTCCCAAAAGCAAATGTTTTGTAAACACAAACAAAACGTTTTTTGAATCATTCAGTTAGGATGCGTATTTCACTCAAACACTGCAATTTTTTGTATATTTAGCTCTGTATCTTCAAATTGCTGGGCCTGCCTTTGCCAAAAACTAATAGCTATTTCTCCTTATCAATAGGAATCGAATGTTTTTTGAACCATTCAAATCAGTTGAAAAACACAAACACACACACAAACATCCATTTTCTTCTGAGGTATGCCAAACCTTCGTCGAGCAATGCAAACATTTTCATTTTTGATTTTTGACCCATTACTATAACTACCCTACGGGGAGTTAAAAAATCGATGAAACTTCATTATGATAGATACATATCACGGTTCTGAAGAACATACTACTATTTTACGGCCCTTTGGCAAGTAGTTTAATTTTAAAAAAATATCAAAGTTTGAAAAAATATTATAGTCAAAAATTGTGTCAAAATTTGCTTTTCTGATGTGAGAAATCAAACATTGTCAATTCATTAAAATTTGGAATAATAAGCTACGATTTTAGGATACATAGGCACGTATCTGTGCTTATGAGATAAAATTAATATAAATACAGAAAATTTTATTGTGTTATTATCTTTAATACTACATTATTGCAGTAACTTATCTACAGACAGCAGTATTAATTGCATTATCAAAAAGGAGTCAGTTGAAACAGAATAATGTTTTGTATTTAACTAATAACCAAGCCATAATTCTATCTTGTAATTAATAATATCGTGAGAAAAGGATGCAAACTATCAACACATCATGCACATAAAATATTTTGGTTCAATAACTCATTATGATCAATCACATAAATTGCAGATTGCTGTAATTTGTCTTATTTTGCTAATTTAGAAAATCATCACCTAAAGCTCAAACAAAACGCATATTCACAAAAGTATTTTATAAATGGTCGCTGCTAAGGCTTACCTTGGATTACAAGAACTCGCGGACCTGCAATCGGCAGACCACTCATTAAATTGTAAGAAAATCACTAAGTCACTTAACACAAAGTTATTTGAAAGACTAAACAAAAATAAATATTATTGTAAAATAAAACTGAAATACTTTATAAGGTGTTAATAATATCACTCGCACTTTAACACGAAATTCACAATCTATAGGCACAAAACATGACAGACAGCAAAGAAACGTGCTGCCATTCACACTTAGACGCTACCGACATATGAACTAAGCTAAAAATATCGATACGTCTATCTAATTTGTTTACAGTGTTGTCAGATGACAAATAATGGCTTTGTCTTCTACATCATACTAAAGTTAGATACATTCAATTAAACTATCAAGGCGGCAAAATCAAACAGAAAAATTAAAGTTAATATATAGAACATATTTCAAGATTATAAAAATTGCACTAAAGTAAAGAATACTTTTGATCTTAGAATGCACGAAGTAACCAAAATAATTCTATTAACTGCAAATAAATGGTAAAATATTGAAACATGAAATAATTAATAAAACTTGAAAGTTAATTGTTGAAGATTTTTTTATTTTTTTATTTATTGGATTTTGACATACATCATAAGGCCAGATGCCATTCATACAATTGTTTACTACAAATTCTTATTAAATAATTAACTTATAAAATAATTTTAGTACTAATAATAAACTTAAATATATATTTATAAATTTTTAAGTTATTACTAGCTACTAGTGTTTGTACATTGATTGGGAAAATAACATTTTTTTTGTGTAAATTTATTATTGTAATTGTTGAAGTTGGATTCTGCTTTTCAATAATATGGAAAGTTAGATAGGAGATTTTTTATCCGGCACATTTGTGATAAAATATTATTGTTATGCTTAATTCAAAGGTGGCAATGAAGGTAAGTATGAAATACTTCAATTTTTATATGGAAGTACTAAAAAAAACATTGCCGTAGAAAATTAATCTTCAGTCTAATTGTGCCACAAAATTGATGTAACTGATCAAATTATCTAAACATTTTGTTTATATTTTGTGTTCTAAAAATATATTTTTTGATGTAAACTATAGCTGTTCTCAGCTATTTACAATGCACTGCAGAACGTAGAGTTGCTTCCGCATAGTTTCTAATTAGAATTGCTCGGCGAATATCAAATATAATTTTGATGAATTTTCATAATTCAACGGCCTATCGCAGGCCTATAATTTTTTAGTATATTATATCAGGCTACAATCAAAATCTATCTATGTACAAAGTGTTATCAAACTTGTCAAACAATTTTTAACTTCCCGTAGGGCAAGTTATATTAATCGCAAAAAAATCCAAAGTGAAATTTTTTATATATCTTTACGTTTCAAAGGTTTCTGAATATTTTGGCATACCTTAGAAAAGATGGATGTATGTGTGTGTATGTGTGTGTGCGTGTGTGTGCGTGTGTGTGTGCGGATACAATTTTTCGTGGTCGATTTCGGGAACACGGATGAAGCGATTTTATTGATAAGGAGACGTGCTGATTAGTTTTTGGCGAAGGCAGGTCTAGCCGTTCCGAAGATACCGGGCAAAAAGTGCCAAAATTGGTAGCTCAGTTTTTAAGAGAACTGACCGTTCGATTTTAATAATTTAAAAAACATTTTACTTGTATTGACAAGATGATAAATCGATCAAATTTTCATGAAGGCAGCGGTTTTGTTTATTCAAGTTTTTTTTTCAAAAAAAAGTATTTTTTTGTCAAATTTATAGTTTCTCAAAAATCTAATTTTTTCGAAGTAAATTTTTTTCAAAAATGTTAATCGTTTTTAAAAAAATAATAATTTTTGGTACGGGAAGTTCTAGCAATTTGTCTTAAGGCACGATGCCATGCGCCCCACTAGTTTTTTATGATTTACTAAAACAAAAGACAATTTTTTTTTACTGAAACTAATCAACGCGATTGCTGGGAATCAACATTTTTCTAATGGTTTTAGAATTTTCAAAATAAATTCAAGATTGTGGGCTTAAACGTGGACTGAAAATTTTGAACTTTGTTGTTAATTACAAAATAAACGGCTTGACCGATAGTAGTGCAAACTGACCAACAATTGTCCGTAAAGATGTTTTTACATTTTTGAAATCAGTACATCAGTTTTGAGAAAAGTGAATAGTCAGCCCACATACTCACATATTTGTACACGGATACACAAATTTGGTTTCATCCAATGCAGAATGACATCGAGAAAACATATATATATATATATATATATATATATATATATATATTTACAAATAATTAAAAATATTTAAGAATACAGATTTAGCAAATAGGATTTTTGTGCGAAATCAAACTTCTCATTCGGAAAGTTCATGTAAACTACCAGTAGAAAATATCAATTTTTTTGTAAAACTGTTTATCTCAACTACTGTTGACTTTGAATCTAAATTTAAAAAATCAATCTAACAATATCCATTCATTTGCATTTCAAGTTAGTTTCCATATTCCATACATCGAATTTAAATTAAAAAAATCAATCTAACAATATTCATCCATTTGCATTTTAGTTAGTTTCCAAATTCCATACTTTCTGGAATATTTTTTTATTGCGAAATATAAATTCAGGTAATAACTTAATCAATCTTTATTCAAATTGGTTTTTGTGTATCGATCAGGATTTAGGAAATAAAAATGATAACTTTTTAATTTCCTTTCTAAAACGCACAGTTATCATAGTAATATGATAAATAGCGATAAAAATGTAAAATTAATATTTTTATAAAATTCAACACATGAGGTTTGTTCTTCATTTTAATCGACAAAAGATTGATCATTGCTGTACAAAAGTACACCGACATTTTTTTTTTCAAAATAATAAATTAGTGATTTTTCTTTGAGAAACTCCCTATTAGGTAATAAAAAAGTAGTTGAGTAATTATTAAATAAATAAATTTGCTAAGTTATAAAAATGCATTTGACCGGTTAAAAGAAAAAACAAACAGTAGAAGTCGTCGAAGCAAAATTTAACTTTGGAGTAAAAATTCAGTTAGCTCTAAGCAGGTGTAAGCCTTTTTAAAGGTTATATGAAAGAACTGATGAATCTAACTTAAAATTAACAAATACTTAAAAACTATATTAATGTCTCGTAAACTAAATGACAGTGCCCACAACCAAAGAAACTAACAACCAAAAAAAAAACTTTTACTGCGGAATTTTACACATTGCCGTATTTCTCCCGATAGCAAGATTGCAAGAATCAAGGTGATGATCTTTCAAATATAGTTGTTTAAATTTTTTTCCTGTATCATATATATATATATATATATATATATATATATATATATATATATTTATATATACTTACATGGGTATATAATATGTAACATGCCGCAAAATTCTGGGCGAGAAGCGAGAAAGTTTAAGTACTCATGTTATTAGAATTATAAAACATTAAATTTGTATAGCGAGATCCTAAAGTCTATTCATATTATAGAACTTTATTAAAATTCAATAGTTACAATTTAAGTCATATATACCCATTTAAGTGCTATACATTTTATATTCAAATGAGATTAGATTGAACTTTTTTAAAATGCCTTTTTTCGTCAATGTACAATGACAACCAACGAAGCGATCCAGCCGGGAGGCTTTTTGCCGCGTATTATTTCAGTCAATTACCTTTGCAACCGTATCCCGACTTTTATTACATATAAGTCCCGAAGACTATATGAGTTCGATATATTAATAAATTGAGAAACAATTCTTATAATTTGTGGTAAATTCAGTTCAAGACAAACGAGATTTTTAAAAGTATTATTAACTGCCCGTAGGGTAAGTTGTAGTAATCGAAAAAAATCGATCATAAAATATTTTATACATTTTTGCGTTTTAAAGCCTTCTGAACATCACAGGCATACATTAGAAAATATTGGTGTATGTGTTGAAAGAAATTAAAATTTTCGCAAAAAAATCCAATACAAAAAATTCGAATAATTTAATTCAATGATTTTCTTACATTTTTACGTTTCAAAGTATTCTGAACATATTGACACAGTGTGTATGTGGCATGTGTTTATGAGTGTGTTCGATTTTTTCTTGAACACAAATAAAAAGTTTAATTCGTATTGATGGGCAGACATGCTGATTAGTTTTTGGCAGGGGCCGGTCCAGCCGTTTCATAGATACGAAACAAAAAGTGCCAAAAATGGTAATTCAGTTTTGAAGAGAATGAATCGTCCATTTTTAAAAATTAAAAATAAATTTACTTATGTTATCGAAGTAGAGAGTTGATTTAATTTGGGATGGTTTTGGAGATTCAATAAAGAGGTAATAATAAAATATGCTATTTGGCAGTCAAAAATGACCAAGATAAATAATGTTTAACCGTTTGACTGCAAAATAGCTACACAGCGCTGCTAATAAATTCAAAATTTTCAAAAAAATGAAAATATGACTAAAATAATCATTAATTTAGTTAATTTTTTTTCAAAAATTGCACAGTTCTCAAAAATCAATTTATTTCAGTTATCAATTTTTTTTTCAAGTTTTAAAAACATTTAAATAGCAGTACGGTATGTTTCAGCAATTTGTTTTAAGGCATGATGCCATACACCACTAGTTTATGATTTTTATTATATCTTCAAACTAAAACTTCATTATATTGTTTAAAGCAGCATCGTTGGCTAATACGCATGCTGTTTCATTTCCTACTAAATAATCATTTATTATTTTTATGAATTATTTTTATTTATTTATTTATATGAATTGTCATTTATATTAATAATTTCCAAATCTTGTAGAAAAGTAACAAAATGTAATTTTTCTTTCTAGATCTTAAAAAAAAAACAGATAAATTAAATTATATTGTTTTTGATCTACTGTATGTAATGTGAACAGATAGTCATGCAAGAACCCATTTGATGTTAATATTTTTATTACGACACCGTCAACCATAAAACGTCCTGTAATGGCTTTTGTTTCAAATAACCAGAGACCATGATTATTCGGCCCACTTCTGAACCAGCGTTATGAAAAAATTTACTCGAAATCATAAATTAAAACTGCGGTATCATAAAACGTTTACACCCGACAATATTTTGGTGATGAGAGATGCAGTTATTATTTGAAGCCGGAGTTGGTAAATTGCTGAAATGCTTACGCACATAACTTGATATGCTGCACGCAATAAACTCTAATAAAAGCTGTTCTTTACTTATACGGAGTAAT